TGTTTGTTCCTTCTCTTGTTCTTGAGGGGGACCGCCATGAGTGGCAATGCATGGGGGGTCTAGGGGGTGTGGCAAAGACGGGATGCCGTGGAATGTGTGTTGATTTGTTTATTATTTTTTTTATTTCTAGGGGTGTTTTTTTTTTTTTTTGTCTCTAGGGGTCTTTATGTTTGTTCCTTCTCTTGTTTGTCGTTGTGGTTGTTGTGGAACTTGTGTTCCTTCTTGTCACTGCCCATCTTTTATAGGTTGATTCGTCGGTTGTTCAGTAACTTCGGTGCAGTTCTTTGTCGTTGGCGTCGAAGTTCGTTTCAGTTCACCCCTTCTGCGGATTTYATTCGGTCTCCACAACATGTCTGACCCTCGAGGCAATAACGGGAAGGGCCCCGTGGAGTCCTCCTCGGCAACGGGGAAAAGGGCGGAAGGTAGTAGAAAAGGTCACAAGACGAAGACCTTTGACTCCCCTTTTAAGGTGGATCCAAAAGCCGATGGAAAACGAGATGATCCTGTTTGGCATTTCGTTGCTCGTGGTCGTTATTTAGATGGATCCACTGCGRTCGGGAGGAAGAACGGTCGCCGTTGTTTGTGCAGGTTATGCGGTCGTTCTCTATGTGGGGGTGCTCGTGAGGCGAAGGAACACTTTTTTCGTGGCGAGGAGTATAGATGCCACGTGGCCACTCCAGCGGTGTGGCACGCGATTTGGTCAARGGATATGTCCAAGTGTCCTGCACATTTGGCTTCTGCCGTGCACGCCTTGCAGAGTTTCCCTCTAGGTCATCCCTCTTTTCAATGGTCACCTCTTCGTTTTCCCGATGACGTCGTTCCGCCGCCCCCGTCGACCGCTGCCCCCTCGCAAGTGGCGCCATCTTCACGTGCACCACTTGCTCCCCTCCCCCCTCGTCCGCTTCGTCAGACGATTCCCGCATCCGTTGATGGCAGACCATCTGTGGCAACGCAGCCTGATGCGCAAGGCACCGTGCCAGTTTCAGGTGTCGGGGAACCTGTGCCGTTCGACGAGCAAGGCACTCATGCTTTCGTCGAGGGCGGTGGGTGGGGGAAGGACGCTGGCACATCATCAGACCTCGCCCCGTTGTTCACTGGCAACAGGGACAAGGTCCCAAGAGTTCGACGCGCAGACACACGTCCGGCCGTGGCAGGAGCACTCGCAACAGGACATCAATTCGCTGCGTATCCATGGTTGCCTCCCCCTCCTTCGCAAACACGACGGCCTACACCAGACTTGACTTCGGCACCTGTTAGCGAGGCCGCTGCTACGGCCACAGAGGGTGCGGGAAACGTCCAGCTCAACGAGCCCGTCCAGGTTTCGGATTCGTCACCCACTCCTGTGCCCGTGAACGGCCCGACCTCGCAGCACGGTGTTTTTGGGACACTGGATCCTTTACAGAATCTGTGCAACATTGCAGCTCCGAGTCCAGGCCCCACCGCATCACCTGCGGCCGGGGGCGGGGTGTGGGATTCGCTAGGTATGGGCGCTGGTGCACGAATGAGGGGCACTTACAGGCAGCAGGCGGTGACCTCGTATTACAACGACCCGCTGGAGCACGCATGGCACCTGCAGATCATGCGATTCATTGTCGAGAGCGGCATACCGTTCAACTGTGTGAAGCTTGAGAGCTTCAAACGCATGTTGACGTTGATCATCCCGCCTGGGGTTCCATGAGTCCCCACCCCAAAACCCCCAACGTATCACATGATCCGTACCACACTTTTGGATGAGCTTGATGTGGAAGTCCAAAAGTGTGTGAAACCTATCCTCGCTACTGCAGCTACCTACGGTTGCACGATAATGACAGACGGTTGGACCAACATTCGGGGCCAAACGTTGTGCAACTATCTCGTCGGCACTACA